AGACAAACGTAACAGTTGGAAGGAGAGGATGGGCAAACTTCTATTAAACAAGAATGTTAAAATTTACACCTACACACATCTATCTCCGGAGTGGGAAGTCAGTTGACCATGATCAATGACGTCAAGCTTTTATGAAGGCTGTGACTTTCAATGGAAACTAGCAGAGTTTAAAAGGTAATTTTGCCACTCGCTTGCGAAAAATTAACAACTTTGATAAGATAAGAGACTGATGCTGCCCAACCTTTTCCTGGGCTATGCTTTTTATGATATGGCTGTGTCAGTCCAAGCATTTTTAACTAATGCAACAAATTTAAACAAAATACAAATGCAGACCCGTGTTTGTCCAAAAATGCATGATTTGTAGACCATTACATGAATCTTTGTCATCAATGATGAACTCATTTTGATCAGTATCTAAAAGTTTTTAAAATATGTCGGTTCATAAATGGCTGTTTTTGGTTTTTGTATGGAGGAGAGATCCGATGCATGACTCAATTCAAATATTTGCTCAGTTAAAACTTGAACAGTAGCGGTTCGTTGACAGACGGCTTATTAGGGAGGGGTAATTACCATGTGAATCTGTCCTTAGGGTCTGGGATAAATCCTTCAAATTACGAGGATACTTTACACTATTCCCCGGGGTGCATAAATAATAGAAGATTACTTTCGTACGTAGAAAGCTTACCATCTAGATCAGGATGTCGACGGCAGACTACAAATGCTAGTATCCATCTTGGTCTACAAGAAAGAAAAAACAAGTCTCACAAACAAAAACAAAATTCAAGTCTCGTAACTCATTCGTATATCGATCACTTTAAGGATATGTATCAGGAAAATCAAATCCTACATCTCAACTTAACAATGAACATCCTATGCTAAAAACAGATGATAACTTATTTATGCGAAAGCCCTAACCAAAACAAAGGAGAAATGTCAAGTCACATCAATGAGGTAGCGAAGAGGTAGAAGACAACTGCATAAAAGATAAGCATACCTACCACGTCTATGTGTAGTTTTTGAGATAAGCCTAATTTTCTTCACCACATCTATGCGTAGTTTTTGAGAGAAACCTTCTTCTTCGTCGGTACGTGTCTTCTTCCTTTAGCTTAGCCTTCTGGCACATCCATGCGTAGTGTTTGAGAGAAGCCTTCTTCTTCTTCTTCCTCTAGCCTCCTTCTTCAGTACAAACGAGCGATCTCTTCTTCTTTCTCTCAAACGATATGCGTACGGTCCGATGTACAAAAACTGATATATTTCTTACATGTGAGTCGATGTTAGTGGTCTAGAGTCGGTCTAGTTACGTTAGTTGCAGTGAGTGAGACGCGTCCGCTGAAACAGTGATATAGTGATCTCTGATTGGCTGCCACCCCCGCCACCGAACATTTGCAAGAACCAATCAGA